CCTCTGTGGTGTAGACTCAGTCATAAAGAGGCCAAAAGGACAGAAAATTAAGTTTTCTCTCCAAACCAAGCTGGAGCAAAAAGCCTAGAGGAGGAAATAATAAGCAGCACTGACCAATGCACCCCATTAACTGGGCTACCAGAGGGCAAAAATAAGGATGGGGGAGGATTGCAGGTGTCACAGAAGGAGCTGGAAGGGGTGTTTTTGGGTGAAAACCAAGGACAGAAAGGCAGACCTCAGTGTCAGTGCAAACGCTGGAGACGTGAACTTGGGGGACAAGAACCCAAACTGAGGAGCTCCACAAAGCTGAGCCCAGCCAGTAGGCTCAGCCTAACCACACCACCCGCCCTGGACTTCCCAGAGGGATGCTGCCAGGGAAGGATTTCTCTGCAGAGACCATGGCCAGGCAGGGAGGTGGCTGTAGGACCCCAGAGATGTCAGATGAGTGGCCCTGGTGACATCCCGGGTTACCCGGATGCCCCTGCCCACAGCACGACCCAACTCCCCCTGGAAATCCTCGTGCCATTTGTTGTATTTCAAACTGAATCGCCACAAACTTGTATCACACACTTACAATGCCATAAAATTACTTAATTTCATAGCTCTTGTATAACTCAGCTGGAACTATTATAACTCTAAATTTGCTGTATGATAGCGTGATGCCCCCACAGCACGATATCTCCTCCACAGGGCTGTCCCTGGGTGCCATCCCGGCATTGCCAACGTTTTCCACAACTTAGTTCCAGACTGCCAAAGCTCCGAGCAGCAGCATCCCAGTCCATTCAGAGCCGCCTTAATAAAATAGTGTGTTTTTATCTGCCAGGTGGTGCTGGGCGCCCCGTGCCAGAGGAGAGGCTGATGCAGCCGCCCTCCTCGCCGTAGTCCCGGCGTGTGGCAGGACTTCTGCTGTGATCGTATAGTGGTCAGTACTCTGCGTTGTGGCCGCAGCAACCTCGGTTCGAATCCGAGTCACAGCAAGGCTTTTGCAAAAACCTGCCTTGGGCACAAAAAGCGCCCGGTTGAAGACAGGAGGGAGGTGTCCACAAGGGAAACACTGAGAATTTTGAAGAAATCTCCCAGTTTTCCACCTCTTCCTCAACCCTTCCTCCGGGTTTTGCAAAACAAGGAGCAGGAAGACACTGTGGCCACCTCACAGAGTGAGAAGAGGTGGGAGGCAGCAGCTTGCTGCCCCAGGCTCAGCTCTAGAGAGACAAGAGAGCTCCTACCTGCCCTACAGGGTAGGAAGGATCTGCCACAGCTGCCACCTGAAGAAGGAAGATCAAGCTGATGCAGACCTGCTGCTGGCTCTCCAGCACCTGGGGAACAGGATTTTGGCTGGGACACCTCCAGGGATGCCTTCAGAGCAGGGATAAAACCCACCCAGTGCCGAGGGATGACCCTGACATACTGCGGGTCTGGGAATGGGAGGTCCAAGAGGAAGGTGAAGATCTCTGGGGTGCACCAAGATGTGCTTCAGCTTGAGGAACCTTTTTAAACTGTTGCCTTTACTGTTCAGGAGCCTTCAGACCACGGAGGCATCCTGTTTGCTTGGTCGTGGTGCCCTCTCCTGACAGCAGTGCAGAACTCACCCAAAAATGAAATTAGAGGGAGCTGCATGAATTGTCACAGTCGAGGCTCAGCTGCTGAAGAAGACACTACCCAATTTTTTCACCACTGCAGCAGAAATTGAAGGTAGCACCCAAGGCAGGTTATCTCAGGTGTCCACAGGGCTTGTGCATGGGAGAGGGAGGCATTTTTTTAATTACATAAAATAAATAATTTTTCTTTGGCACCTTAGCCATAGCAAGGAGCAGAGAGCAAAATTCGTTACGCGTTCACCTTTAGGATTTGCAGTTTATAGGGTACTACTTGCATAACTTCACACTCCTCTGATCTCCATTTACTGCTTCACTGAAAATACATATTTCTTTACTCAGAGAAAGCTCAAAAAGTGTTTTCCCTTCTAAAGACAACACAGAAGAAAAACATCTAGAGAAGGTGCCCTTTGGCAGCAGCGGTACCTGTCTGTCCTGGGGTTTGGGGTAGAACAGAACCAATTTTCTTTTCTGTGGTTTTACTTTTCAGTTAAGTCTCTTCTAACTGAGAACTGACTCCTACACAGCTCAAAAGCAGAAATACGTAATTTCTCCAATCCTCTTTTTTGCACACACCGCCTCTTAGAAAGTCGGTTTGGGGGATAAGGCCCTTAAGCTCATCTGAAGAAGAATGTACTGTGCTTGAGAAGTGGATGTATGTTTGGGTTGAAAAATGTCAAAATCCTAAAGGGGATATTTTTCATCCAAAATTACTCAGTTTGCTGCTAAAAGAGTTTCTGTTTTGCAGAAATAACCTGTGTGTATCCCCATACACAGCGCAATTCAGGGCTTAGCTGAAGCAGTGCGGTGGCCCCATGGGCCTCTGCAGCCTCTGCTCTCACATCAACCATCTTCCCTTAAAACAATACAGGGCTCTGCCCTGGTTGGAGCGTGTTTGGGATGACAGGGAATGGAATCACAGTCTGGCTGAGGTTGGAGATCACCTAGTTCAACCCTCTGCTCAACTAGGGCCACCCGGAGTCCAGACAGCTTCTGAATGTCTCCATGGATGGAGACTCCACAACCTCCCTGGGCAACTTATACCAGTGCTCGGCCACCCTCATGGTAAAAAAGTGTCTCTTGATGTTCAAACAGAGCCTCCTGTGTTCCAATTTGTGCCCATGGCCCTCTGGGCATCATTGAGAAGAACCTGGCTTCCATCCCAGGAGACATTCTCCAGTCACTTCTTCCACTTCATGGAGAAAAAACAGGTGCCCATCCTTTCGGAAAGGGATGCTGCAGAAGGTTTGGGTACCACCTTTCAGCAAGGATGGGAGAAGATAGCCCCTTGCTGCTTCATCCCCATTTCTGATGGATCAGCTGGAAGAGGTGCCCATTCTCTCTGTGGAGTCCTAAAGGATAAAGTCTTCGCCTGGACAGGGGCTTGAACCCTGGACCCTCAGATTAAAAGTCTGATGCTCTCCCAGCTGAGCTATCCAGGCTCCTGCTAGGGGAATTTTTGGGGGTTGTTTGACACAAGCAGTGAGGACCCCACTTTACTGTGTCACCAGAGGGACAATAAGGGGATTCCCTTACACATCTCCCACCCCAACAAGGACACCACTCAAGGAGGAGCCACCACCACAGAAGCTCTACCCTGCCCTGGCACCTCTTACTCGGGCAAGGACGGGGTCATTCGAGGAAGGGGAGGCATAAAAGCTGGGTCTGTCCCCTTGGGGACAGCCGAAAGCCAGAGTGACGAGGAGGAGGAGGAGAAGGAAGAGGAGGAGGAAGGGGACAACCCAGTGAGAGCTGTGGATGAAAAATCCTAACTCAGCAGCAGAAAATCCCAACCCAGCTTCCTCCCAAAGCCACAGTGTCCAGCATTGGCTGTCCCTGCAGGGAATGCACAACTCTCTGGGATGGAAAGGGCTGGGGGCAAGGTCCCAATAGTCCTTGTGTGTTTTATATTGGTATTTGGATCAACACTGGTCTTTAGTGTTATTAATGTTAATCATTTATTATTATTCTATTAACTCTGTTTATATTTCAACCCTCAGTTTTCCTTGGTTTTCCCCAATTCCCCTTCCTGTGTGGGAAGGGGTAATCGGGTGAGAGAATAATTGTCTAAACAACAAGAAATTGTTGTGGGTTCCTCAAACCATAACTCCGTGCCCTCAGATGGGGCTACAAACTCAAGTGGGCTCCTGAAGGCTACCCCTCCTTTTTTCCTGCCTTTCCTCCCCATTTCACGGGAATGGGCCCCACTGCTCCACAAGGAACTCACCCCACCAGCTCACCAGGAGACTGGCTGTGCCAGGGGGATGGAGCCCCCCGGGGGGGTAGGCGAGGGTTGCGTGGGCACCTGGAACTCATTTCTGCATCCTCACGTGGACTTATAGCCCCCTTTCCAAAACGCAGCACAGGCGTCTTCAATAGGATCTGTGGCCACACATTGCAAAAACAGCTGAAAAAGGCCCCCTGAATCTGAGATGTCACCCTCTTCTTCCTCCCCCTGGGGCTGGACTGTGCCCCAGGGTCCCTGAGGACCTGGCAGCAGCTCCCCCTTAGTGTCCCGGGGGGGCAGGGGCTGGATGGCTGGAGGGGGAACCAGGGAGGGACCAGGTCTCCCTCCTGGGGAAGGGGCATCTGGCATCGCCCCCGACGTCTTGCACCCTGGTCCCTTCTACCCTGTGTCCCTGTGGGCACTGCTGGCCTGGGTCCCCCTGCTTTCCCCTGGGGGTCCCTGAGGGTCTTCTCTCCCTGGTGCAGCACCAGGGCAGCTGGGGGGCTGCAGGGGGTCCCCCCAGTTGGGGCTGGTGCCAAGGGGACACCTACAGGGATTCGAAGCCGGCAGTGACCAGGAGCTGCAGGGTCCCAGGACACCTCTTGGGGGGACACAGGGGGGATGTTGCAACCCCACAGGGATGAGTGCCCACTTGGGGGATGCTGCATGGGGCAGCCTGGGCAGGGGGACACAGGGCAGGGGCAGTGCCTGGGGGGGCACTGGGGGACCTGCCACTGCCATGTGGCACCAGGGACTGTCCAGATGTGTCCTCACCTGTCCCCAACCCGATGTCTCCCAGAGGTTTGGGGTTCCCCTGGCCACATCAGCAGTACCAGCCCCCTCTTCCCAAGGGCAGGAAGAGTGGAGAGATGCTGTGTCCACCCCAGCAGGGTGCTGGGAGCTCTGGGCACCCCCATGGGGTAACCCCGGGAGTGGGGTGCAGGAGGAAGTGCATGGCAGCCACAACTCCAGTGGGGGGACACCAAGGCACCGGGAAGCTGCTATAATGACATCCCCGCTCTGCTGGCACCCCAAAGGCTCTTGGGGTGCAGAGAGCCCCCGGGCACCCCTGGGCTGCCTTGGCAGGGCATGGCATGGCCACAAGGCCAGTCCTTCGGGCCCTCCCCGTCCCTCCTCCCCATCACGGCCAGCCCCTTGCAGCTCTCCCCTCCCCTGCAGCCCGGGTGCCTCTTGGCTGGACCTGCGTAAAAAAATATAAAAGGCTGTTTTGCTTGGAAGACGTCCGTCCGGAGGATCCCGGAGGAGGCTGCCATGGGGAGCAGCGGCGGCCGGGTTGCGTTGCTGACGCTGTCGCTGCTCCTGCAGCCCACGTCCCAGTTCTGGCTCTTCAACGTCCTCTTTCCACCCACCACCACCCCAGAAGCTCCCCCGACCAACAGCACGCCGCCCGTGGTACTGGGTAAGGTCACGGGCACCACACGGGGTATGGGTGGGCACCCCGGGGGACACGCAGCCCCCCCCCAAGAGCTGGCGGTAAGGTTGGGGTGCCGCATTGCCAGTGGCTCTTGGCTGCAGTGGCCCTTTGGAGTCTGGAGCTGGAGCTACCAAGGAGGGGTGACACACAGCTCTCAGGTCCCCTCCTACCTGCCGGGCTGGGGATGCAGAGCTGGCCACGGTTGCCTGGAGCTGGAGGGGGCAGGCTGGGCACCCCAAAAAGCAAATGGGGCTCCAAAATCTCACAGCTGGCCCAGAGCTTGCTCGGTTCTGGGGGGGGCTCTGCTGGCAGAGGGAGGGTAGCTGCAGCTCGTCCTCATCTGCTGCTTCCCACAGCTGCTGCTACCAGTGCAGTGGGCCAGCTCCTGCCACCCCTTGGTCCCCCAAAGCCCTCTTCGTCCCGTGTCTTCTGCTGCTCCCTGGTGAGCAGTCATAGTTAAGTCATCCTCTCCAGCTCCAGAAGGGCATCCATCTGGCATCCCACCCTGCCTGGGGGACGGGGTAGAGGAGAGCAAAGCCAGCGGGCAGAGGTGCAAAGGGAGGCGAAAGGAGAGGTCGGGGCAGCACCTCGGGGAGGTGGGAGCAGCCACCACCAGCTGGTACCACCATCCTGCAGGGCTCTGCCTTCCTTTGCCCCTGTGCCATCACTGGGGACTGGAGATGGGGTTCTGCCATGAAACCTCTGCTGAGCAGAGTTGGGGTTTTCCTCCTTTTTCTTGTATCAAACCAAGTTTCCCCTTTAAAAAGAGAAGAGAAAAAGCAGAACGTCCCTGCTGCAATGCTGAGGGCTGACCCTGCCATCTCCCTTCACGGAAGGGAGCAGGGGATGGTGTCCAGAGCCTCGGTGCCCTGGGGCAGGTCCTGCTTGGCCCCACCAGGTGCCTCTTCTCAACATGACCTGTGATGGTTGCAGCATCTCCCCATGCCCCCAGTACCAGCTTCAGTCCCTGTCCTGTGCCCAGCTGGGTCCGGCTGCCCCATGTGCTGCTCGGCATCTGCACGTAGCCCATCCCCCTGGGCCGGGTGTCCCAGTAACCCCCCAGTGCCCTTGGGACCGCCGATAACCCCTCTGCCCCCACAGGAACTCCCTTAATAATTACCTAATGTCCTCTGGCAGGGGAGGCAGAGCTCAGGGCTGTGTGCCGGGGGCCAGGTGCTGGCTGTAAACACTTGAGAGCCGTCAGAGCAGCTCGTGGTCCCGCTCTGGGGAGGTCCTCTCTGCCTGGGGAGGTCCTCTGTACTTGCTCCCTACCTGGGTGCTCCTACACCAGGGTTCACTGGTTGGCCTGGTCCCCAGCTAGGTGCTTGAGAGGCAGGATTAGACCCTCCCTGTATCCCTGGGGAGATGCCAAAGAGGTGAGGGAGCTGGGAAGCCTGGTGAGGGAGGCAACCGCTACATCTCCTTCACCCCAGACATGGGACAAGGCTTTTGGAGGCTGCAGCCATGCCCCATGCTGGGGCCACGGTGGGTGGGATGCGGGTAGAGCACCCCCAGACCAGGCTGTCCTCCCACCCTGCAAAGGGGAAAGTGCTGTAGCTCCCCCAAATGCCTGTGCCCCCGTAGAGCCCAGGGTCCAGCAACACCTGAGGCTGGTGGGGACCAGGGGAAATGGGGCACATCTTTCTCAGATTAAAGATGCTCCTTGCCTGCATCCTTCAGCCCCCATGCCACTCAACATGGCTCAGACCCCACAGTGCTTGTGAGGTCCCCCAGCCACAGCACAGCCTGTCTCCAGGTCCCAAAGCAGCACAGGGCAGGCATCTGTAGGGACTTTAGGCCAGAAAGCAACTCGTGGTGTCCTTGGGGAAAGCGACTTATGTGGGACCAGCAACAAGCCACATAGCCAACAGTGCCTGCAGCAGCATCAAAGGTCCACATTGTCCCAAGCCATGTGTCTCCAGCCAGTCTTTGGACGCACTGGGGCCATGGGATTCATCACCCAGTGATCCCATCCCACCAGCCCCTGTCCCCTGCATCCCTTCACCTCCTGTCCTTGCCCTTGGGGTCAGCACTGACACCACGAGCTGGCTCTTGGCTCTTGCACACTGGTTGGGAACAGTCGTCATGGTGGCACCGGCAGATATATATATATTGGGGTGGCACCAGGGTGGGTGTCCCATCCCTGCCAGCAACCGTGCTGAAGCTCCCAGAGGCAGACCAAACCCCCCAGTGATGGTTGCCCTCCATCGAGGGAGCCCAGATCACCCGTGTCAGAGTGTGAACTTGTTTAAAGCTGCTCTGTGTTTACCGTAGGGGTAACACTGGGTTCCCGCAGGGTATGGTTCCGCTTGGCGCCAAACCAGCCCCGAGACCTTGTTGTGCCTGCACGGAGGGTTTAAAGTTCAGGAAAACAGTGCGTGGGCCTCGGGAGCAAGCACCAGGAGGATTTTCACCTCCATGGGCACTCTGTGTGTCCCCAAGCTGTCCCACTACCCCAGGACAAGGTGTCAGGGGTGCGGTAGGGTCGGACAGCCCTGTGTGCCACCAACTCCTTCCTCCCCACTAGGCTGTAGCAAGGGGAGGAGGAGGATGGAAGCCTCGCCAGGCATGGAGAGTAATTCGGGATGCTCCGTACTGGTGGGGATTGGGAGGTTTGGGCCAAGGGTGGCAGATCTGGGGGTCATCCCATAGAAAAGGCAGCTTGGAGGGTCCCTGAGGATGCGTCTTTAGCACCATTTCCATGGTAACCCCCCACCTCCACTCCTGTGCTGAGCAGGCTGTTCTCCAGGGATGCTGCTCCGGGAGGTCCCTGGTGGGGCAGCCCCAGGGAAGCTCTGCTTGGGGGCTGTGAGAAGCCCTGGGGCAGTGGGATGGGGTCTGTAACCGGCTCTGCTCTCCCTCTGTGGTGCCACCAGTGCCCGGGTGTCTCGGGAACCAGCTGGAAGCAAAGCTGGACAAGCCGGACGTGGTGAACTGGATGTGCTACCGCAAAACAGAGGACTATTTCACCATCTGGCTCAACCTCAACACCTTCCTGCCAGTGGGAGTTGACTGCTGGATCGATAACACCAGGTACTGCTCCCCCCCATCCCGGGAGCTTCCCCGGGGAAATGACCTACCGGGGATCTTCCTCCCCTCTCCTCCCCCTCCCAGCCATGACCGAGCACACGTGGAGAACCACGCGGCCGTTTGGGAACACAGCTGGCTGTCCCCTTCCCATGTGCCTGCCATGTGCTTGTGACCAGCCAGACGGTCCTCAGCACCCACTGGAGATGCTGTCACCCTGGCAGGGGCCACGGGGTGAGGGGACCATCACAGCCTGCTCCATCAGAGCCTCCTGCCCTGAGATGCTGGGCTACCAGCATGGACACTGGCTTGGCACCAGTCCACCTCCCCGTCCACATGACACTTGAAAAGAGCCACCCAGCTCCAAGCTTCCACCCAGTGATCTCCACCCCATCCCTTGGGGATAGGGTCCTTCTGCTACTTTCTCTCCTGTCCTGTCCCACAGGGTGGTGTACAATCGGACCTCTCGGAAAATGACCAATGCCCCAGGGGTGCACATCCGCGTGCCTGGCTTTGGCAAGACCTATTCCGTGGAATACCTGGATCAGAGCAAGTTGGCAGGTGAGAGGAGGAGAGACGCAGGGTGTTCCCATGTACCCCCTGCAAGTGGAGAGTGGTCTCCGTGTCTCCAGGGCAGACTAGTTCTTCAGAGAGCCCACATCACATGGGAGTGAGGGTCATAGGTCTCAGGCACGCGGTCCCTTCAAGTGTCAGCAGAGACCACCCCAGCCTTGATCCCAGCACACAAGCGATGCTTGGAGATGCTCTGGCTGGAGCCACCAAGCTACAGGACTTAGCGGAGAACATTGTGGCCATGAGCAGGACCAGGGTGGAAAAAGGTTGGCAGGAGAAAAAGGTTAGCACAGACCTAATTCCCACCTCTTCTCTCTGCCCGTAGGTTACCTGCACACCCTGGTGCAGAACCTGGTGAACAACGGCTACGTGAGGGACCAGACGGTTCGGGCAGCCCCCTATGACTGGAGGGTCGGACCCCGTAAGTTTGGGTTTTTGTGGCCACGGAGGGAGGGAAGCTCTCACAGGCTGTGTGGGCTGGCTGGCTTGGAGCAACCCTGGGGTATCTTTTTCTGGCACTCTCACATGAATTCATGGTGGCACTTGTGGCCTCTGCACCCACGCTTCTCTCTGGTCGGGGCTCCTAGGGTCAGCCCTGGAGCGCTGTGGCCATGAGCTGGTGTCCCTCTTATCCACAGAGGAACAACCCGAATACTTCCAGAACCTGAAGGCACTGATCGAGGAGATGCATGATGAGTACCAGCGACCAGTCTTCCTCATCGCTCACAGCATGGGCAACCTGAACATCCTCTACTTCTTGCTCCAGCAGACACAAGCCTGGAAGGATCAGTACATTGGGGGTTTCATCTCCCTGGGTGCCCCCTGGGGAGGGGCCGTCAAGCCCCTGCGTGTCCTGGCATCGGGTGGGTGACTCCTTGTGTGCAGCCAACTCCTTGCTTGATTTCCCTCCTGCAGAAATGGAAGGGTGGTGATGGGTAGGGAAAGGACACAGCGGTGGAAGAGGTGAGGGACAGGCAGCTGAGAGGTCTTTGGAGGTAGCACTCATGCCCTGGTGCTGATGCAGCTGCATCCTGCTGCATCCCGGTGGTGCAGAAAGCACCATGGAGGTTCCTGCCACATCTCCAGCAGCAGAACAGCAGCCCAGGACATGCCCTGAAGCTTCCTCTGCTTTCCATGATTGGGGCTGGTGGGTTGGTGTGTGTAGAAAACTGCTGTCACAAGGGTCCTCCTGCAGTCCAGCCTTCCCACTTCCTCCCCACCAGATCTCATCAGACAGCCTGCAGCACAGCCTGTACCATGCCCAAGGTCAACTCCTGAGCTAGGAATGCTCCTGGAAAGGCAAAACACCCATCCTAGGCAAGAAAAGGGCTCAGCCAAAAATCTTGGGGCCAAGGAAGCAGTTGGAGGCATGCTCACCCCCTTCTCATGGCCTCCCCAGAGTCTGCACCACCTCCAGCCACGCAGGTTGCAGGACCTTCACTCCAAACCATACAGCCCTTCTGCAGCAGGGGACATGGAGACCACCCAAGGGACACTCACACTAGGAGAGAACCCTTGCTTGGGTCTCCCCACATCTCAAAGCCCATGCCCCATAAGCTTTGCTGTTTTCAGGCTTTAATCTCCCTTCCCCCAGTTCCTCTTTAGTCTCTTTGCAGCCCAGAAAGCCACAATCACTTGCCTACTGCTGATAGCCCAGAATATCTACAAGTCACAAGCTAAGCCTCCAAAAATGCGTGGAATTAAAATCATGTGCTTGAAGGTTTTGACATCTGGCCCCTTGCATCACCCTTAAGTCATGTCCTCATATTTTTCTCTGTTGCCCCAAGGGCCAGAGACATTTTTAAGGTAACTTGAGATCATTGTGTGGTCTTGGGGCTCCAGACACACCAAAAATGCCGAGGCTTGCAAGATGTTTGTGGGTTGGCCGCCTGTTATCAGCGCCTTCATGGGACTCAGCAAACTCCTGCCCCTGCAGGCAGATGTGGAGGGGCTGGGCTCGTAGGGAAAGTCCAGGGCTGAGTTGCTGAGGACCATCACACACCCAGGTTTGTCTACCCTCAGCCCCTCTTAGCAGCCAGAGATGTCATTCCAGCGAGAAGAGTTTGAGGGATTGATGTGGTTATCTGCAGCCAGAAGGGTAAGGAGAGGACAATAAGGTCATGGGCAGGGCAAGGGTAAGAAGGGGAAGATCTGAGGTGGAACCATACTCTGGAGAGCTGTGAGTCGCTGACGGACAGGCTGACCCCAGCACAGCCGCCCGAGGGACACCATTTGTGAAGGTACATTTTGGTGCTGGTTCTCATGATCCCCTGTGTGTCCTGCAGGTGACAATCAGGGCATCCCACTCATGTCCAACATCAAGCTGCGTGAAGAGCAGCGCATGACCACCACCAGCCCTTGGATGTTCCCCACGAGCCTGGCCTGGCCCGAGACCCACGTTTTCATCTCCACTCCCTCCTACAATTACACCTACCGGGACTACAAACGCTTCTTCACCGACGTCAACCTGGAGGACGGCTGGTACATGTGGGAGGACATGAAGGACTTGCTGAAGGGCTTACCTCCTCCTGGAGTGGACACATATTGCCTCTACGGCACAGGGTACCCCACAGTGGAGACCTATATCTATGACGAGCGTTTCCCTTATGAGGACCCTGTGGACATGATTTATGGCGATGGGGACGACACCGTGGCCACACGCAGTTTGGAGCTGTGCAAGCGGTGGCGCAACCAGCAAAAGCAGAAGGTGTTCATCCAGGAGCTGCGAGGCGTTGACCACCTCAACATGGTCTTCAGCAACCTGACGCTCAGTTCCATCAACGAGATCCTGCTGGGAAACCCACAGGAGCAGGGGGAACCGGGGCAGGTGGGACCCAGCCCAGAGGCAGGGAAGGCAAGGAAGATCCTACCTGGATGGAAGGTCCTTAAGGAGCCCAAAAAGAACTGAAAGGAACGAGGGCCAGCTTCCCTCCGTGCTGGTAGCCACCACATCGCAGGGGAGCAACGGGCTTGGAGCTGTTTGGAAGGAAAAGGAGCAAGACCATCTCAGGTGGGTGGGCTGGCACCCACTTCCACAGTGACTGGTTTATTTTTTTTTCGGGAACGGCGATTAATTATACTTCCAAGGCTTGTCACTTCCCACTAGCGGGTGGATAATTAACCGTGCTGCCAGCTCATTAACACCACACTTGCGAATTACGGCGTACGCGCAAGCCCTTGGCGCTAGCAAGCCATGTCTAGGCACTTTGGAGGCTGCGGAGCTGCAGCCTCTGCTCACTTGGGACAGAGCAACTCACGTAACGAGCGCAGGGCTCTGCCTCACCGGGACGGTGATGGGGGTGGCACGGGGGTGGCACGGGGGTGGCAGGGCAGGTACGGCTCACAGGAGCACCTCTGCCAGCTGCCAGCGTGCAGGCAGTGAGCGAGGCTCATCGGGCAAGAGCAGCTGGAAATCGGCAGATTTAGAAAATAATAAACACACTTTGCTTCTGCGCGCCCAGCCTGCCTCCTCCCTGCCCGGCGGGGGAAAGCCCTCCCCAAAAACGGCGGCACCCAGGGGCTTTGGGAAAAGCCACATGCTTGGCCCATGGGACCAGGGCTGGCGATGGAACCGGGGCTGGGGACACGGCCAGAGTGACAGTGTGAGGGAGGGGGGTGACAGGATGGTGGCGGGTGATGGGACCAGGGCTGGCGATGCAGCCAGCTTGGCGGTGCAACGGGGGCAGCAATGCAAGTGGGGCTGGTGATGCAGCTGGGAGCAGGGACACAGCTGGGAGCAGGGACACAGCTGGGGCTGGTGACATGGCCGGGGATGGTGATGCAAATAGGATTAGTGACACGGTTGGGTCTGGGTACACAACTGGGGTTGGGGACACAACTGGGGTTGGTGATGTGACCGGGGCAGCAACGGAACCAAGGCAAATGCAACCGGAGCAGGAATGCAACCGGGGCAGCAACCAGGGCAGGAATGCAACTGGGGGCAGCAATGCAACCAGGGCAGCAACACAAGCGGGGCAGCAACACAACCGGGGCAGCAACTGGAGCAGCAATGCAGAGCAGCGATGCAACGGGTGCAGCAATGCAGCCAGGGCAACGATTCAACTGAGGCAGCAATGCAGCTGGGGCAGAAACACAAATGCAGCAGCAACACAACCGGGGCAGCAACCGGGACAGCAATGCAACTGGGGCAAATGCAACTGGGGGCAGCAATGCAGCCAGAGCAGCCATGCAACCGGAGCAGGAATGCAACCGGTGCATCAACACAACCAGGGCAGCAACTGGGACAGAAATGCAATGGGGGCAGCAATGCAACCAGGGCAGCAATTCAACTGAGGCAGCAACACAACTGGGGCAGCAATGACATGGGGGGCAGCAATGCAACTGGAGCAGCAATGCAACCGGTGCAGCGATGCAACGGGGGCAGCAACACATCCGGGACAGCAGTGCAACCAAGTGCAACCGGGGGCAGCAGTGCAACCGGGGCAGCAACAGGGCAGCAATGCAACTGGGGGCAGCAATGCAACTGGGGCAGCAACCAGGGCAGCAATGCAACCAGGGCAGCAATGCAACCAAGGCAAATGCAACTGGGGGCAGCAATGCAACCAGAGCAGCAACAGGGCAGCAATGCAACTGGGGGCAGCAATGCAACCGGGGGCAGCAATGCAACCAAGGCACACGCAACCGGGGGCAGCAATGCCATGGGGGCAACAACGCAAGCGGGTGGCAGAGCCGGCCCTGCCGCCGCAGCCCCCATTCCCCGTCCCGGCCCCGCTCCGCTCCCCTCCGCTGGTAGCGCCGGCCATGCGCGGGGGGCGGGGCTCCTCCCGCCACGCTCTCCTCCCATTGGCTGCGGGCGCGCCGGGCGCGGAGCCCATTGGCGGGTGAGGGAACGGGGGGGCGGGGCTGCGCAGCCCACGTGCCGCCGCCGCCGCGCTGGAGGCCATGGTGCTGGACCCGGGGGCGGCGG